CAAAAAGGGAAGCTGGGAAGCCGAAGCGGGCTTTGAAAGGGAAGCTGGGAAGCCGAAGCGGGCTTTGAAAGAGAAGCTGGGAAGGCAACTTTCTTTCATTTCCACGCATTTTCATCCATTTCTTCCTCTGGGAAGCCGCCGAAGCGAGCTTTGAAAGGGAAGCTGGGAAGCCGAAGCGGGCTTTGAAAGGGAAGCTGGGAAGCCGAAGCGGGCTTTGAAAAGGAAGCTGGGAAGCCGAAGCGGGCTTTGAAAGGGAAACCTTCGGTTCCAACTGCCGCCAGGCCACTCAATGTAGGGAGGTTAAGACATTGAGGACTGCCTCTTTGCCTTTTCCTTGAAGTTCCAGCTTTCGTCTGTAAAGGGAAATTCGTTGGCGCCATTCCCGGTAATCCTGGGGCTTGTTCGTAAACACCGGGATGTATGTGTCCTTCAGCATCTCCATGCCCGTAGTGCTCGACGTTGTCGTAGGCCCATCCGCTGATGTCGGCATCATAGATGGCCAGGTCGTAGACAAAGAACAGGTTGATGTCAAAGTCCCGGGCGATGCTGAGGAGCAGGTGGTAGTTGGGAGCCAGGTGTAGAGGTTGAAGATGAAGTAGTGGAGGTTGCTGTAGCACAGTGGTTGGATGTAGGTGATCTGGTAGTTGTCCTTGGGCTCGTTGTAGGGATGCAGGAGAGGTCTGGAGCTTGCTGCTCCGCTACCAATGTTGATTGGTAGGGAAGTCGACTCAGTCCACAGGCCCGCCGCTCGAAGTGCGGGAAGTGCACAAAGAAGCGCGACGCTTTTCAGGGGCTGCAAACCATGCAGCCAGTCTGGCTGGTCTCGCGAGATGTTTCCCATCCCTTATATGGGGGCATTGGGCCAATAGGGCCATTGGATAAAGAACCATGTTTCACCAGATAGTGTGGCACACAATTCACAATATATATATATATATATAAATATACATGTATATATATATGTTGTATGTATATGATACATCTATGAACGATGTCCTCCTAGTTGTCCTAGTTCTGGTCACCAACTCACTTATCATGGTGTAAACGAAGGCTCCTTCCTGGATGCAGTTGAAACGGTCAAACCTCTGAAGTTGATCCGTTGTGGGCTGCTGAAGCACCAGAAAATGACCAGAAATTTAGGGTTAGTGATTGTTAGGTATAGCAGAATATATACTCATTTTCCGCAGCGCTATGCGGCCCATATTGGGCTACACGTCCGCAGCAGCGCCCCCAAAGTAGGTTGCCAGTTTCAATTTCGGGGAGGGTCCAAAAACACAAACAAGAACGAAAAGGAGAAAATGCATTCTTTGGCAAACGCTGCTAACTTGCACCTAATACGCGGAACCCAATGGAATGGGCTGGGTGAAACCCATCCATCTGGTGCGTTGAGAAAAACATGACAAAGAAGGCGATCACATTGTCGAGTAGAAAAATAATGACTGTGGCAGCGAGAAATATAATCAGAAGAGCAAAACAATGAAGTGAGCGGTTCCGCGACGCACGGCGGGGTTCGTGACCACTTGTCTGTCTAGTTGGAGGTAGAATATATTGGAAGGCGAAAAATGGACAGTTGGAGTGACCGTGGTCTCCCGGCCAGCCTGCCAGCTTTAGCTGCTCATGGAGAAAAATGCGATTATGCCCAATAAAGGAGTGGGACTGCCTTTGAAAAAAATCACGCAACGGTTTTGTGATCGTACAGAAAGGTCTGTGGGAAAGCGTTTGCTAGTACGGAAGGGTTCTAGCTTACAAGACTCAACCCTTTGGCAAACTTGTAGCCAAACGACCTTTTAGATGTTCAAAAGTCGGCAAGCAGCTTCACTTTCAAAGCCCGCTTCGGCTTCCCAGAAAAAGGAATTGATGCAAATGGATGAAAAAGAATGACAAATGAAAGAAAATTAACAAATATTGATAAAATAAGATGAACATCGGCTTCCAAGCTTCCCTTTCAAAGCCCGCTTTCCTTTCAAAGCCCGCTTCGGCTTCCCAGCTTCCATTTCAAAGCCCGCTTCGGCTTCCGAGCTTCCCTTTCAAGGCCCGCTTCGGCTTCCCAGCTTCCTTTTCAATGCCCGCTTCGGCTTCCCATTTCAAAGCCCGCTTCGGCTTTCCACCTTCCCTTTCAAAGCCCGCTTCGGCTTCCCAGTTTCCCTTTCAAAGCCCGCTTCGGCTTCCCAGCTTCCCTTTCAAAGCCCGCTTCGGCTTCCCAGCTTCCCTTTCAAAGCCCGCTTCGGCTTCCCAGCTTCCCTTTCAAAGCCCCCCATTTCCATGCCCGCTTCGGCTTCCCATTTGAAAGCCCGCTTCGGCTTCCCATTTCAATGCCCGCTTCGGCTTCCCATTTCAAAGCCCGCTTCGGCTTCCTAGCTTTCCTTTCAGAGCCCGCTTCGGCTTCCCAGCTTCCCTTTCAAAGCCCGCTTCGGCTTCCCAGGTTCCCTTTCAAAGCCCGCTCGGCTTCCCAGCTTCCCTTTCAAAGCCCGCTTCGGCTTCCCAGCTTCCCTTTCAAAGCCCGCTTTGGCTTCCCAGCTTCCCTTTCAAAGCCCGCTTCGGCTTCCCAGCTTCCCTTTCAAAGCCCGCTTCGGCTTCCCAGCTTCCCTTTCAAAGCCCGCTTCGGCTTCCCAGCTTCCCTTTCAAAGCCCGCTTTGGCTTCCCAGCTTCCCTTTCAAAGCCCGCTTCGGCTTCCCAGCTTCCCTTTCAAAGCCCGCTTCGGCGGCTTCCCAGAGGAAGAAATGGAT